GAGATGTCTGTAAAGCCCTTTACAAAGCACCTTTACATACTTTATCTCATTCATCTCTAAGGATATGTCTGTGAGGCAACTGTTGTGATCCTCCATTTTTTCAGATGAGGAAACTGAGGTTCAGAGTGGTTGAGTTACCCAAGGTTTCACAGCTAATAAATTGTCAAGCCCAGGCCAGTGGAGGACGGAGGACTACAAACCCTGGGCTGTCTTTTCAAGTCACGTTTGGTCTCACCAGAAGGGTGGCCTATTTGGAGATACATATACCCTGCCACAGGCTGACTTGACGTTTGAGGATCCGGCCATCTAAAGCATGTGGGCCATGTGGCGAGGCAGCCCTTCCCTACTGGAAATGTCCCCACGTGGAGCCCAAGCGTCTGGCATGAGCTAGAAGGAGCCCAGAACACTGGGTGGCCGCAGCCCTCACGTAAGGGCACGTGCTCAGGTCCTGCATTCCGCCAGACGCCGCTCCACTGCCATCCGCTCCGAGGAGGCGCCACCTCGCTCTGCTTCAGCCGCAGCGAGCGCGTGTCCCCCGGGCGCGCCAGCCGTGCGCCCTAGCCGCTCGCCTGCGCCCGCGCCCCAGGTGCCCACTCGCTCGCGCGCCGCCCGTCCGCGCTTCGCCCGGGTGTCTCCCGCCCTCCCAGAGCCGCCTCGGGCCGCGGCCAAGGGTCCCCCACACCCCAGGGGCGGAGCGAGGCTCCGAGACGTCAGGGCGGAGAGCGAGCGCGGGGCGAGCGCGCCCTCCCGGCGGCTGCCCGCGGCCCACGTCCTCGGCTGGCGCGGCCGGCGGCGGCGGCGGCGGCGGGGACCCTGAGATGCAGTCAGCGGCCGCGCTGGGGCGCAGCCAGGCGGCCGGGCGGGCGGGGGCCAGAGGCTGAGCCGGGGCCAGCCCTCCGTGCGCACAGCTCTGCCCGCCGCCCCCAAGCGGATCCCCAGCCGCCCCTCGGCTCTCCCCCGGCGTCTAGCAAAGCCCCCCGGGGTGCCCATCAATTTCCTTGGGTGACTACAGCGTGTGTTTTGTTTTTCTTTCTTTTTTCCCCTGCCCGTGTGCCCTTCTCCAGGATGGCAGAGGCGGAATTGCACAAGGAAAGGCTGCAAGCCATAGCAGTAAGTCCACTTTCATTTTATTTTCTTGCTCTATTGTCTGGGGTGGAAGGGGACCCCGAGGGTTTCGGGGTGAGCGGCATTCCAGCACGGTAGCCGCAGGGCATGCGTTCCGGGGAGGGGAAAAGTCTGTCAAGGCTCAGCTATGCTGCTTTTTCTTTTCTACGGCTGTAGCTAGAAACCCCCAGGGCGCGCTTTGGGGATTTGACTGTGGAAGGTTGGCTTAGAAATAAGATGCTTGCTGCTGGGCTTTGGGGGAAGACTAAACAGAGGCATGGGGCGCGACTCCTGGAATATTATCACCCAGTGCTTAGGAATACGTTGACTTCACTCGCTGGAGAACGGAGAGCACGGTGACCCGGACGGTGGCTGCTGCCATCCTCTCTGTGGAAACCATCTGCCTGTTAAGTGAAAAACCAGGAGTCAGCTCCTCAGCCAGGCACGCGGTAGAACCTCCTCCCAGAAACCCGGAATGTTAGTTTTCCCTTCTCTTATATTGACAAGGGCACTGGCCAAGCCACCACCCTGGAGGGGTCTGGGGGCTTCTTACAACTGGGTCCTGGGAAAAATATTCCAAGAGAGCCTCCTTCTTATGGGTGTGGATTATCTGAAAACCTATTTTCAAAATACAAAGGAGCAACCAGTTTTGGCAAAGTTCATATGTACTTTCAGAAAAGCGTACCCATGTGCATCTTGGGTATAAAAAAGAACTCTCTGAGACTGCCTAGATTTGAGCAATCTTGCCCCAGTGTTGCCAACGATCCACAGATGTGGTATTTTTACTGGAGCCGCCACAGCTGGATTATATATTTCCTTTGTGGATGAGGGAATGATTACTGCTGCTGTATGAAATAATAACAATTAAAAGAGAAGGTCTGTTAACATATTGGCATAAAAGAATCTCCAGACATTTTCCACCTAAATACTTTTTTTTTCCTTTGTCCAGGAGTTCCCTGGAAACACATTCCAAATTTTTTGGAGAAATAGTGTGTAATGTTTTGGAAGCAAAGTATATTAAAGTGTTTTCAAAAGCCTTTTTTGGACAAATTCTTCATTGGGAAAATGCACACAAGGCCCTTCTTCTTCTTTTTTTTTTTTTTTAAAGAAGCATTTGATGTGGTCTCCATGGCTCTGAGACCCTCTTTCTCAGACTGCTCAAATCTGAAGCATCTTGGAAACTTTAACGCCGAAGAGAGAGATGTTTGTTGGCGATGCTGAAATGTTACGGTTTGCCTATTAGGCAATCTTTGAACTGGGTCCTCAGAACTCAGGAAGGCTGTCTTTGTCTTTTCTTTCCCTTTCTCCCTGCACATGTGTATCGATGGTTCATGAATGGTTTCTCAAGTTGGTGGCAAGGCAGTGTGGCCAGTATGTCACGAACTTGGTAAGAATGGAGATATTGAGTTATTGGTGCCATGTAGCTAGCGGGTGTTTTGTGTAAGCTGGATAATAGGCCGCTTTAACTGTTGACCAAGTGGCTGCTCCCGAGAGCACTCATTGGCTCCCATAGGCTGCCGCTGAAGGTTTCCAACAGTTGTCACATTTTCTGCCTTTGCACGGTCAGCTTTACTGGATGTCTGAGGAACAGCTGAACCCCATGAAAGGACTTGCTTTCCAAACATGGAGCCAGTAGCAGCTACTAGTGAGGCCGCCCCTTTCCAAGTGGGGTTGAGTAATCCCAGCAGAGGCCAAGTAGACTTTCAAGAAAGATCTAGGCAATCTTTGGGAATTCTCTTGCGTGTGTGAGAAGAATAAACACAACTATTCACTCATGCCTATTCAGTGGTGGAATTAAGTTTGTCCTGTGTAGCTGGGGAGCTGTGGATGATTCTTATGAATGTGTCGGCATTGGTGCACATTTACAGTTGGCCCTCTGTGTCTGTGGGTTCTACATCCATGGATTCAACCAACCTTGGATCAAAAATATTGGAAGAAAAAATGAATGGCTGTGTCTACTGAATATGTGCAGACGTTTTTTCTTGTCATTATTCCCTAAACAATTATAGCTTAACCAACTATTTATATAGCATTTACGTTGTGTTAGGTATTCTAAGTAATGCAGAGACGATTTAAAGTCCATGGGAGGATATGTATAGGTTATGTGCAAATACTATGCCCCCTTTTTTTTTTTTTTTTTTAGAGAGAGAGAGAGAGACAGGATCTCCCTATGTTGCCCAGGCTGGTCTCAAACACCTGGCCTCAAATAATCCTCCTGCCTCAGCCTCCCAGAGTGTTGGGATTACAGACGTGAGCCACCGTGCCTAGCCTATTATGCCATTTTATATCAGGGACTTAAGCATCCTTTGATTTTGGTATCCGAGGGGCATCCTGGAACCAATTCCCTAAGGATACCGAGGGATGCCTGTATGTTGTTGTCAGGGTAGATTTTCTAACAGTGACATCACTGTGTATGTGTGTGTGGAGTGGGCGGGGGTGGGGGGAACATGTGGCCCTATCAGTAAATGGTTTTGTGCCACGCTTTGGTCTAGTATACACTCTCCAAATTCGGCAAACCTTGCCTCTCTTCACCACTTTCCGGGAGTTCTCAGGGGACCTCAAGGAGCTCGCAAGCCTGCACCCCGAACCTGGTACTCCTGAAGTCCCTGGGGGTATGAGGGAAGAAGACAATGAGTTCTCTCATCTTCACCTACTTGGGCTCCTCTCTGAGAGGCAGGGCAGAGAGACTGGGACTTCAGTCTTCAGGGGCTTAGGCAATCTCATGGGCTGGTTGTAAGGTTTAGTTTGATGGAGGTAAAGCACCTGGCATGCAGGTATGCAGGTATTGAGGCAGAGCCCTCCATTCCTGTCCACACTGCTGCCTTCCTTGTCCTGGGGGTGGGCGAGTCAGAAGCAACATCTCTGAAGTGGAAAGAGTAGGAACAGCCTTCTTTTTTATCCTTTCCTTCAACTCTGAAGGTCACCGCCCCACCCAGCATGAGTTCCTCCACCCACTTCAGTCAGAGACAGGGATTGTGATTTGAGGATTCATTTGTCCACTGGTTCAGTGGATATTTATGGAGTGCTTCCTCCGGGAATGTACTGGCAACACTGAAAAGTAAGTGTTCCCAAGTTCCAACCACGAGAGGGAAAATTTCACCCTTGGCACACTTAATTTCTAAAAGGACAGAAGTCCTGTGACCTAAGATATTTGTCACATGATCTCTGTGGGATTTTTGCCCCAAAGGGAATGAAATACTTAGACACCAAAATGCTTTAATTGAAGTTGAGTCCAGAGACTAATCAATGAGAGAAGATGACTCTCATTCTATTTCCTGCCAATACAAGAGCAGGTCCATCTTTGACAACTCTCTCTACCGCCACCTGCTCTTTTCATCTGTAGGAATACTGCCCAAACTGTAAGTTTAGAACATAGCAAAATGCCTCTGCCGTGGAATGGATGTGAATGATAATCCCACAGAGTAATAATAATAATTGCTATTTATTGAACATTACACATTTAGCAAGGTACTGCATGAAGTGCTTCTTGTTTTTTCACCTACACTATAAACCGTTGTTTATAGTCTAATGGAGGAAATAGAAAAACACAGACAATTACCGTCCCTGCAAGTACTATGAAAATGAGTGCCCTGCAGGAGCACGTAAACCATCCTCAAGGAGTTGTGAAAACACTTCCCCAAAGAGGAGACGTTTGAGTAAGTTCTGAAGGTGGGGTAAAATAAAATATAAAATAACATCATAACCCTCCCAATTATCAAAAGGCATTTATTTATTTGTTGTTTGTTTATTATTTATTTGGAGCAGTTAGCGTGAGGAAGAGCAAGCCAAAAGCATGAAGTTCAGTCAGTAGCTAAAGGCACAAACTCAATAATGAGACTGAAATGCTTTTTCATAAGCATCATCTCATCGAATCCTGATAACAAGTTTACGAGGCAGGCACTACTATATTATCCATATTTTACAGATGATCAGGTTATAGAACTAGCCCAACATTAAACAGATAGTGTCCAAGCCAGGATTTGAACACCCACAGCAGGCCACTGAAGCCCCAGTTTTGACTACTGCCCTGAACTCCCACCCAAGATGGTGGCAGCGTCTCACACCTTTGCTACAAGCACTCTGCGCAGGTGGTTCCAGCAGCCTCCGTGTGAGCCCATGAGGGAGCAGCAGACTCGTTCCATGGCAGCGGGAAAGCTCAAGGCAAACCAGGAGGCCCCCATCCTTTTGAGAACCTTCCAAGCCTGGGTTCAGTGCATGGAAACACCCACCATAAACTTTAATCGAGTATGTAGCATTCCCATGGGGAAGAAGCTGTTGCGTCTCAGTGGAAACCAACTTTGGGGGAGGTTGTTATGTCTGCGCATCCGAGAGGAAGATAATCTTCCTTGGGCATGAGTAAGAATAACTAAATGTTATAGAGATCATCTTGGGCAAAAGCCCTAACAGCCACATGGACGAGGCTTCAGGCCAGCCCCAGGGAGAAACATGAGCATGTTTATATGTGCTAAAATATGAAATGCTATTTTAACCTATGCCTGTTCTTTAGAGAATTTCATCTTTTAAAAAGAACACACTCTGCAAAATAATAAAAATAATCTTTTGCATTTGTATAGTATTTGCCAATTTATGAAAACCTAGCACAGGCTACCTTAATTCTGAGGTGTGCAGGGCGGGTCTCAGGTGAGCATCCAGAAGTATCTGAGCTTACACCTTGAGAGGTGGAAGAGTTGTACTAAGTCCTAGTCTCTCCTGACTCCCAATTCCTTGTGCTGGTGGCACATCTAGCCTTGGAGGGATACTCTGATGTGGGCTGGAGCTGCCACTGGATCCTGCTGAGCTAAAATCCTCTGGCTGGGATGAGAAAGTGAGCTTGGGGGTATGTGGGCTTGGATGTGCCTCTATGGACTATCGGCTTCTTTAAACTCTCACCCAAAGGGTGCAGTTAGTGGGTTTATGGCTCTCACCTGATCCTGTTCTCTGCTCTGAGTAGTCTTGGGTATAGGTAGTTGGCTTAGGCTGGCTGTGCCCTGGGCTTACAGAGAAAT